AAGGTACCCAGGATGATGGAGGAGCACACTGCTGCAGGATGCTCTGTGCTCTAGTAAGTTCAGGGGTGCAGGCTGCTTTCAGCTTGAACCAGTTTATAGCTCCGACCTGGAGCACCAGGACACTCATCCCAGTGTAGCCCCTCCTCTGTGGCTGTCAGGCAGAATCACTGCAGCCTCCAAGATCAGCTGGCTCTCAACCACCGATATGAAATCCCTCTGCCTGGCTGCACATAAAGGTTTAGTGGGGTACAGCTGGCCAAAAGCCAGGCTTCCCCTCTGCTTACCAGTCCCACTTTGACCTCACTTAGACTCAGCTCAAGCTATTTTGCTTCTGCACGTCTCCTCTGCTCATATAATATGGCAAAATTTGGACGCTATGTTATCCACAGTAGTACAAAGTTCGATAAAAGACCTCACCCTGTGTTCCAGTTCCTTTCAGAGCCCTGAGACCTATATTGCACAAAAAAAAAGCAAGGGCAGGGAACCACCTACAGCCACTTATTACACATTATGAATTTCTTTCCATTTTGAAAAACACTTCCTTTTTCAAAAAGCCACCTTCCACCCCCTCCCTGACAGCTATTGATTCCCTAGACCAAAACAATAATGTGCACCTTGCTGCAGTGAACTTATGAATGCCTAATTCTGAACAGGAAAATGTCACAGACCTCCACTCACAAGCAGGGCTTTGAACTAAAATGTATATCCTGTCTCTTCATCTGTGGTTTCCTGCAGGGGTACATTTACTCCCTCCAAAATTCACTATTAATTTAAGCATTGTTAATGATACCCAGCTTCTTGCTGGCAGAGAGAGGAGGATGCAATTGTCCATTTTGTTTCCCAGGAGGTCCTTGAATGGCTGTGACAAGCACCAATAATAGGACTTAGATAAAAAGAGAAGTTGCTAACTTTGTCCCAATGAATCACAGTTATAATTTCCTTGAAAGATGAAAGGATTGTTAAACTGACTGGGAATACAAAGCAACCCTCCTCAGATTGAACTGAATCATCTTTGCCCATTTCAACTGTATTGTTCCTTTTCTTCTCTGTGTATGAGAGAGTCCTAACATTTCTTGCAAGTAGATGACTCTCAAACCGTGCCTTAAGTGACACAGATGCTGATTTGTATGAGCATTAGGTGCACTGAGAACCTGATCCTTGAAGATGCATAAAGATGCAGAAATGCCTAGTGGCATTTTTCTCACATGTCCAAGGTTACAAATTCTCCTGGACTATCATTTCCAATATATGAAAATCAAACTGTCAGTAAGATTCTGACCACAGTGGCTCTTACAGAGGGCTGTACTATTCTACGAGAAAATCTCTATAACATTACATTCTTATTACGCATTTCTGGATAAGTCTGGATTTTGACCTGTCTAAAATCCCAGGATTCCTATCAGAAGATAAACTCCTCCAAATTATAGACCTTTGCAATAGGACCATTATGTTTCTTTTAGAAGATTACAAGAAAAGTTGATTCTGCTGAATATAAAGAACCTGTGTTTGTGGAAAGGGACACATTTCCCCTTAACAGCTTCAACAATTCTTATTCTATAATGATTAGGAACTTTTTAATGGAGCATATTAAAGAAGTAAGAAAAATTTTAGATTTGCTACTACTTTCCATTTTCAGCTTCAAACAAAGGCTTTCTTGGTATAGGAGCTTTCAGCCACAGGGGATGTAGCACCAGAGGATGCTGACAGGAGAAATTGCCAGAGTATGAAATAATCTTTCCCCAGGGAGGAGAAACCAAGAAAAGAAGTTCACGTTTTTGGTCTTTGCGATAGTAGAGCAAGGGAAAACTTGTACTGGGCTAGAGAAATTAAACGAGGCCTTAAAAGAAACAGTCTAAGGGCTCTTCTTGGGGTGCTGAGAAAATCTGTAGCCTCTGCATAACAAAATTAAGGACCTAAGCAACTGTCAGGCAAGAGCTTGGAAAAAGCAAGAGAAATAGGGTGAGAAGATGTCAATGCAGGAGAGTAAATTCGTTTAACTGCTAGAAAAATAAAATGTGGAAGGTATTCCTGGGATAAGAAGCACTTGAAGTCAGAGAAATTCACTGTAATGTGAGATTGAAGCCTGTAATAGGTTTTGTGTTCCCATGAAAGACACATGATCAGAGCAAACTGCTGTAGGCTGTCTTGCTTCATGGATAATTTCTTTGTATTTAATTGCTTATTTCACTACTTGACGACACATTTTCTTTCGCTGGTATTGGTATGGGATTGTTAAAAAGTTGTATGGATTTCCAAGAGGAAGCTGCATGCACATTGTGTTTATGGGTAGTTACACTTATCAGGATTAATTTTGTTATCATGCAGACTTAATTCAAAATACATAAGAGGAAGACATTATTCAACAACTAATAGATGTTATACCATCAACATATTCTAATGGGCTGATTAGCAATTTTATTGTATTCAATTTGCAGCGTGGCAATTCCGTGTCAGGTGGAAGAGCTATCAAAATGAAAAACTGCATTAAAATTAAAAACCAATAGTCCAAGATTCAGTCTGAATGAGCTTCCTAGTGGAATGATGAAGTGCCGTTATCTGTGAGTCTGCCCTAGATACCTGGTAAAAATAGACTGTGGAAATCCTTGGATAAAGGTCGATAAATTAGTTGGGTTTGGTATTTCACACACAAAATTAGTAAATATGCCACTGGGGTTTTAAGGTTTCTTTTTTTAGTCCTCTCTGAGTAAAATATTGAAGAGTTCAACTCAGTGCATTTCTGTTTGGAGGACCTTTTGCCCTGCATTTAAAAACAGACTGGTTTGTCTACTTCTTTCTAAAATACAGAGACGGAAGTAATAGTTTGTTGTCCTTTGCTTCTTGTATTCACACCTATAAAGCAGCCACTTCACTTACTGGCAAAAGAAAGAAAAATATAAGCTGAAAATACAACCAAACTGTGCTTCCTCTTAGAGCATTAGTTTTTCTGTCACTGGGGAAAACACTAGGATTTTTCATGTATCCTCCTCAGTCCTTCACAGAGCCCAGGCAAAGTCAAAGCTCCTGCCTAAAAGCCAGCTTGAGTCTTGAAGGGAATGGGTAACACCACACTTACACACCCAAATGTGACAGGGAAGCCTCTTCCCTCCTAAACTTCTTCAGAGCCCCTGTGTGCTTCCCCTGTCCCCATGTCCTCACAGCTTGCTTCCACCTCGTTTGCACTAACACAACTGTTTGTGAAGGTGCACTTTGACATCTTGGGTCACCAAGACGATCCAGTTAAAAATAGCGCTCCCGAAGGTACAAGAGAGAAGATGGATTTGCAGCAGGTGCAGATACTGCTACCATCCTCTGCCCTTCTTGCCCCTAGCAGAGGCACTGGCAAGTCTCTGTGGCTGTGGCACTGCCAGCCCTGGTGCTAAGGCAAACCAAAAATTGACAGCAGCTTATATTAGCACTCGAGCTGTAAACTCAGAATGTGACTTTGCCACCATTGAACTAGTAACTAATGGACTAATGAAAGGGACAGTGCCCACTGCTGCCAGTCATGTGGCCCTGCCACCTCTGCAGACCTGGTGGAAAAGGACTTTTCTCTCTTTGCAGGATGAGCTTTAAGCTCCATCAAGGCCCAGCTCCCACTCCCTGTGTAGCTGCAGGGTGAGCAGGGCCAGGAGCAGCAGAGGGGCACCAGGAACACGCAGCCGGTCGAAGGAAGGCAGGATCATCCCTTTGGGAGGGAATGTGGTTTTAGGTCAGTTTAATTCAATTGCACAGCTGTGGAGAGGACACTCAGCCCATCGTCAAGTCCTCCCTAGTGACAGTAACTACTAGATGAAGGCCGCAGCAGGCAAGAACTGCCTCAGTCCTGGGTATTAAACCCATCAGGGGTGATAAGACAGACCCCCAGGCACGCACAATGTTGAGAGGCTGTTTGTGTGATCAAAATTTTTCCACTGTATGTTTTTGCATATACTTTGGCACTTTATCTCACGGAGGCAGTGGAGAAGCATCCTGCCTGACACAGCCCTGACTTCTAGGAATGAAAAGCTTTTGGAACTGATGCCTGGATGAGCCCTGCTGAGCCAGGCTCCCTGCAGCCTGCTGAAGGCAGTGTGAAATGCTGCCCAGCATGAGCAGTGCTGCTTTACACCCCCTTAGCAAAATCGCGGTAGAGGATGCAGTGCAGTGAAGCTTGAGGTGCTCTGTGCTTGGAGAAAGCCTTGGATGAAGAGGGAGGTTGCATGTCTGAACACACACAGTCTTGTTATAGTCCCGTATCCACAAAAGAGATGAATTAACTAAAACAGAAGCTGCAGCAAAGTGGAGGACAAATTCTGAGAGCCAAAGTGCTCTGAACATCATCTGACATCCTTTTAAATCTTATTTGGAACTAAAATATTCTCTTCTTTTTTTTTTTCCTCCCAATAAAAAACATGTTCTATTGTTACTTAAATAGCGTATATTTCTGTAATAGCCTTTTAATGCAGAGCTGTTTTTCTTTAGGGCCTTGAATATATGCAAATGCAAATGAAGAAAAAAGCTGAAGTATAAAGGAAGCACGGTAGTCTGGAAAAAACGGAGGGGCGAGTAACTGTAAAGATCAACTGGCAAAGCAAGCTTATTAGGCTTTGGGGGGAGGAAGTGGGGGTTATTAAATGCCTAGTGTCTCATCCTACGTGAGTATAACTACCTTATTGCAGTGGCTCTGCAGAAGTCAGAATATGTGAAGGAAGCAACCTCCACTGAAATCAGTGATACAAATCAGAACATTTCCATTCCCTCAGCTGTGATGCCATCCGACTCCAAAAGCGCTGTTTAAATATGAATGGCATTCTGTTTATGTGCGTATTAACAATATGTATACCCATAAAGGCTTGCAGAAATGCAAATATTCCTCTGCACATGAGTGTCTCCCACTGAGGCTGCCTAGAAAAATAGCATGGGGACACAAATTGGTAACAATAAGTACAGCTGAAGCCAATAATGAGGTAAAATACATATGCATGTGTGAGGGGAGTAAAACCTTGGCTCTGAATCACGTGCCTCTTAGCGTCTGGTGATAACAATTCCCCAGTGCCTCTGCCCCTCTGTCATCGGCTGCACTTGTGACAGGGGATCCCTCCTTCTACTTCTAACACCTCGGGTGAGTGTCCATTTTACATGACAGAGGCTGCCAAAGCAAATGGGCTAGGAACGGCTTTGCCGCACATGCGCAGGTTTAAGCAAATACAGTGATTATGCTGAAATTTGCTTAAAATGAAGATGCCACTGGAACATAGGAAAGGGTACACAAATGGAAAACCTGCTCTGCAGTGTTAAATGGACAGATCCTGTCTGATCAATAAATGCATTAGCGCTGCCCAGTTTACAGCAACATCCTACACGCTCGCTTTTAACGAGAGCTCAATAAGAGACAATTCCCAGTATGGAGGTTTACTGGTTTATGTGCTCTGTTATTTCTGCTATATTATCACTAGGAGGGTCATGGAAGGTCCCCATGACATTTCTGTATGTAGGGTGTGCTTTTTCCAACTCATCTGCTGGTTTAGTCTAGTGTCCCTAGCTGTGCTGGAAACTCTGACTAGATAGATTCTGTTCTAGCCAAGAGCTCTCCAAAGCATTATTTGTGAACATTCATTCAGAGAAAACTTTAAAATCTGCCTATAGTTGTTTTTCACCAGCATTTGCACAGTGATATCACTGCTTTTGCCAGAACATTGGTGGAAAACACAAACCTTGCAAGGGTTCATGTGAAAGTGTCTGCATGCAAATTCTCAGAGGAGGGATTTTCCTTCCTCTAATTGCTTTTGCTGGTTTTGCCATAGAAAGGGTAGAAATGATCCCCAGTGAACACACTCAGCAGGGGATTTCTTCCTATCACATATCTCTGAATTCTCCCCACCTCTCAGACTGCAGCATATGACTAGTCCTATGCCTTTGTGCCAAATTTCTGCTAAAGTTTACCCAGCTTTCAGAAACCAAGCTGGAAACAGGTCATTAGACTACTTTTGTAAGGGTGAGACACAGCTTTTTGGTTTAGCTGGAGAACAGTTAAACAGAAGAAAGTCTTCTGAGTGACATTTCACTGGAGAACTCCCTGAAATCACTTCTCTTCTGAGCATGGGTAATTTGAGCCAAAAAACTGAACCTCTGAAAAGATGGGATTTTGTGTATAAAGAGAGAAATTAAACTATTTGCAGTTTAAACTGCAACACTTACAAGCCAAACTAGTTATGGAGGATACAAACAGATGCAATACTTTTTAATTAGTCTTTGTCTGGGTTAGTTTGTATTTGTTCCCTGTACAACAGGCCATCATCCCACCTGCAGTGAGAAATATTTTGGTCTTTGTAGTGACCTGAATCTTTCTGCTGTAACCTGTGTTTAACTCTGAAATTCTACTGGACTGGAAATTTGGGGTGTTTTTGCTTTTTCCCCTGAAGTGTTATCTTACTACCTTGTGCTTAGAAAACTTCCAAATTGTACATATCACCTAAGAACAGAATTGATAATTATGTGAGCTATCATGGGGATTTGACTGTTGCTTTGACAAAGGAGATATTAAGCTCTGCCAGGCTGTAGAACTGAGAAGTTCTGGTGCGTTAGGAGGTACAGAGTATTACCTTTGCTTTCTTCCCCACTCTTTCTCAACCTGACCTCCAGAATGTCCAACCAAGCAGCTGTGAATCAGGCAAAATGCCCATGCAGTTGAATAGGAATTTTGCTCAAGAACAACAGGATCAAGCATCTCTAATGATGCAGGCTAACATTACCTAGGATTCAGAGAAATGTCCAGCTCGAACAGGGGCCAGATATTACAGTTAAGATGCTGACTTATAACAACAGATATGTTGCCCATTCTGACATCCTGCCTTGGGCAGGTCCCTGCTTTTCGGGATGCACAGAACCTGCTTGACTGGGTACTCCTGAATCAGAGGACAGCCACCTCTCATACCGCCGCTGTCATTGCCATCCCGCCCAAAACTTCACCTAATTCCCTAGCAGCCTGGTTACATTTTTGGCCAAGAGCACACCAGGTAACAGCAGCAGTGAATGTCTCCAAACATGTACAGAACTTGACCAATGTGTCTATCTGTAGCAAAACCCTGCTCTGAGGTTTAGCTTCACCTATTTTTATTTTTTTTTTTTCAATTTCCATAACTAGTTTGCTGATTTCATGCCATTGTGGGGTGGTTATTTTGAATTAAAATGTGCTTATGTTCTTCAAGGCACTTAGTAAGAAAGATTTCTAGATTCCCTGGGGAAATGTAGTTTTTCCAAACCTTTTTTCCTCAAGTTTTGGTCATGGATGGGATTTCTTAATCTGGGTTTATTAACCAGCAGATGTGGCCAGTGGGCACATCAGTAGCAGGGAATGTTGCTGTGTGTGGCTGTAAGGTGCAGCTGAATCCTTGCTGGCAGCACCAGTGCAGTGAGGCATGCCTTGTGTCCTGCTTTGCTCTTCAGTTTTCTGGAAGGAAGTAAACTCTCTTGCTGCTGCAGCTAGTGATTTGTGTTGACTGCTTTCATGTGGTGTTATCTCTTTCCAATTTGGGGTATGGCTAAAACTCTGAAAGCTGGAGTGATTTAATTACAGCTGTAGAGAGAGCAAATGAGAGCATGCTCTCAGTCACAACCCCTACAGTTGGGATGAGAAAAGGATTTCCATTAGCCCCTTCTTTTCCATCTCAGTAAAGTCAGAATAAAATCTTTCACTCTCTTTGAATAGTCTTAATTAAACCAGTGCAGCTTCCAGGATTTTAGCTGTAACCCAAGTTGAGGGGCAGTCCCTGCAGAGAGCATTCTTGCCACTGAAAGCTACTATCATCAGACTAAGAAATAGCCTCTGAAAACCAGAATGATCAATATACATTGGCATAATTTTGCTCTTCATGGAACAGCTACATGAAATGCTGAATCTAATTGGCCCCTGGAATACCGGTATTATACATTTGTGTCTAGGCTGTAATCAAGCCACAGAATCACAGAATCCCAAGGGTTGGAAGGGACCTCAAAAGCTGATCTAGTCCAGCCCCCCTGCAAGAGCAGGGTAACCTAGAGTACATCACGCAGAAAGTTGTCCAGGCGGGCCTTGAATATCTCCAACGTAGGAGACTCCACAACCCCCCTGGGCAACCTGTTCCAGTGCTCTGTCACTCTCACAGTAAAGAAATTTTTCCTGATGTTCACATGGAACCTCCTATGCTCCAGTTTACACCCACTGTCCCTTGTCCTATCACTGGACATCACTGAAAAAACCTAGTTCCATCATCCTGACACTCACCCTTTACATATTTGTAAACATCAATGAGGTCACCCCTCAGTCTCCTCCAAGCTAAAGAGTCCCAGCCCCCTCAGCTTCTCCTCATAAGGGAGATGTTCCACTTCCTTAATCATCTCTGTAGCTCTGCACTGGACTCTTTCAAGCAATTCCCTGTCCTTCTTGAACTGAGGGGCCCAGAACTGGACACAATATTCCAGATGCGGTCTCACCAAGGCAGAGTAGAGGGGGAGGAGAACCTCTCTTGACCTACTACCCACACCCTTTCTAATGCACCCTAGGATGCCATCGGCCTTCTTGGCCACAAGGGCACATTGCTGGTTCATGGTCATCCTCCTATCCACCAGGACCCCCAGGTCCCTTTCCCTTTCACTACTGTCCAGCAGGTCAGCCCCCAGCCTGTACTGGTACATGGGCTTGTTCTTCCCTAGATGCAAGACTCTACACTTGCCCTTGTTGAATTTCATCAAGTTCCTCTCCACCCAACTCTCCAGCCTGTCCAGGTCTCGCTGAATGGCAACACAGCCCTCTGGTGTGTCAGCCACTCCTCCCAGTTTAGTATCATCAGCAAACTTGCTGAGGGTACACTCAGTTCCCTCATCCAGGTGGTTGATGAAAATATTAAACAGCACTGGTCCCAGCACCGACCCCTGAAGGACTCCACTAGTCACAGACCTCCAGCTAGATTCTGCCCCATTGATCACAACTCTCTGCCTTCTTCCTTTCAACCAGTTCTTGATCCACCTCACTATCTGATCATCAAGCCCACACTTCCTTAGCTTATCTATGAGGATGCTGTGGGAGACAGTATCAAATGCCTTACTGAAATCAAGAAAAAACACATCTACCGCTCTACCATCATCCATCCACATAGTTACTTGCTCATAGAAGGCTATAAGTTTGGTCAAACATGACTTCCCCTTGGCAAAGCCATGTTGGCTGCTCTTAATGACCCCCTCATCCTTGATATGCCTAGAGATGGAGTCAAGAATAAGTTGTTCCATCACCTTTCCAGGGATGGAGTTAAGCCTGACCGGTCTATAATTACCCGGGTCCTCCTTCTTGCCCGTCTTATAGACTGGAGTGACATTTGCCATCCTCCAATCCTCAGGCACCTCTCCTGTTTCCCCACGACTTACCAAAGATGATGGAGAGTGGCTCAGCAATGACCTCCGCCAGCTCCCTCAGCACCTGCCGGTGTATTCCATCCGGACCCATCGATTTATAGATGTCCAGATTGCTTAACTAATCCCTAACCCAATCCTCATCCACCAAAGCAAACTCCTCCTTTATCCTGACTCCTTCTGCGGCTATAGGAATCTGGGTCCCCCGGGGAGAGTCTGCAGGAGTAAAGACAGAGGCAAAGAAGGCATTCAGCACCTCTGCCTTCTTTATATCCTCTGTCTCCAGGGCACCCACCCAGTTCAGCAGTGGGCCTATATTGCCTCTTGTGTTAGTTTTATCAGCTATGTATTTGAAGAAGCCCTTTCTATTGTCCTTAACCCGACTTGCAAGATTAAGTTCCAAGGAGGCCTTAGCTGTCCTAATTGCCTCCCTACATCCTCTAACAGCTGTCCTATATTCCTCCCAAGTGGCCAGCCCCTCCTTCCATAATCCATAGATTCTCTTTTTCCTCACGAGTTTGCCCAGCAGTTCCTTGTTTAACCATGCTGGTCTCCTGGCTCCCCTACTTGACTTCCTACCCATTGGGATACTCTGATCCTGAGCTTGGAAGAAGTGGTTCTTGAATGCTGACCAACTATCTTGAGCCCCTTTACCACCTAGTACCCTTTCCCATGAGACTTCCCTTAGCAATTGATTGAAGAGGCCAAAGTTGGCCCTTTGGAAATCCAGAAATGTGG